CTTCTTCCTTTCACAAGACTTCATAATAATAAGTAGTATTATATGACTCACTTGTTATACAAGGTGATCCAAAAGTTGCGTACATCAAGTTTTCAAAATTTTAGGAAATTAATAGATAATTAATGGGAAATTCTTTCAGTAGTTTAACACCATTACACTGTTACAAGTAATATATTATTTAAAATTTCATTTGTTGTTTAGGCTGCTAGCTTTAAAAAATGATTGTTTGGTGGATGTAGGGGATGAATGTTTCCCAAGCAGAAAAAATTTTTATGACTGATGAGCATTTCTTCGCTTTCTTCCGAAAAATTGTTGAAGCGTTTTAAAACGCCTTCCAAAATTTTCCGCTTCGTAACCTAATTAAGAGAAAATGAAACCATGAGTTCAAACAACCGCCGAAAAAAGTGACCGCAGATATCTTCTGAGTTCGGACAAAAACGAATGAAGTAAAAAATAAAAAGTTGCTATCTCTAGCAAGAAGTCTGAGAAAGATGACATCGCAATCAAATTTATGCTTTGCAAAATCATGAAATAAATCATGAACCTTTGTTCTGCTTGAGACTCATCTCCATCTTGTACCAAACAAACGGTTTTTAAAATTAATAGCAGAAACTTCAATTTAAATTTCAAGTAATATACTCCTTATAACATGTGAAATTTCCACAGTTTAAGAAGCTTAATATGCGCGTTTCTGGATCACCTTATGGCACTTTTGCTTTTTGTTTGCTTTTTCAGATGTTTGGATTATTGCTGTATGGAATCTAATTACAATGTGTCACTAACTTCCTTTCCCGAGTTATCGAAATGGAATTGGTACGCGCATGCAAATCAAAACTTAATAGCATTTAACATTAAAACTTTAACGAGTCCATTCTTCAGCATTATAAACAAAATTACAAAGGTAACAGTCTACTTGACGAAACTAAAATTCACAATTCAAAGATAGTCCTAGAAGGAGTCACAGTTCACTACTTTTCATCCAGCTAGGCATAAAATGTTTAGCTTACCGGAACTTTTCTCGTGGTTACTTACTGCAGCTTAAATTATCAACGGCTACTACTTACAATGGTTTCTCTGCCAAGTTTATGTCCAGGCTTCAATTCAGGTGGTATTAGACATTCGACATACACACACACACACACACACACACAAAAAAAAAAAAAAAAAAAAAAAAAAAAAAACTATAGGCCACTACCGACTGAATGACCACAGTTCCATTTCATGATATTAAATTTTGGAAATATCCTATGTATTTTTGTAGAAATTGAGAAAAAGTTTCGTTACTGAATTTATAGTTACATTTTTTAAACTCTATAAAATATGGAAATAAATTCTACGAAAACAATTGGTGTCCTTTATAAACAAAAGAATTGATTTCTTTCTCTCAAAAATCTGAATGTCAGTATTTAAATAACAAATAAGTCAAAGCAAACTATGCATGATATTTCTCTTAAAAGCCATTCTGTAAGTGTTCAAATTTTCACAGCTTTATTTTGTAATTTCCAAGACTTCTTTTGTGATCCATATTGAGGAAAATGTAACTATGGTTTAGTTTTGATTATTTTGAATGGCTTCTAAAATTAATTCATTCATATTTTCATTGACTGGTATTGGAAAATCAATCACTGATCTTCATTAAATTAACGAATCATTAAACAAAACGGAATAATATTATATGAAGAAGAAATGAGATATTTGACTTCAAATGTTTTTGCAGTCTTTAAATTAGAGTGTCTTATAAGTTCAGGATAAATGCGTTATAATGTTTGATAGTCACAAAGTCTTTAAAATGTTTGATAGACTGCGGATGAAGCTACTAAGCTTAGACCTGTCACTAATTGGCTTTCACCTGGATTCGCACAAAAAGGTCTAAATTTACGCTGAGGAGATTACTGCGTTGAAGTATCTAAAAAATGAAAAATGATTCCCGAAGCTAGTCGTTATGTTTATTCTACAATTATCAAATAACCGTTATTGCATTGACAACATTGACTAGATCTGTTACCTATAAACGGATTTTTGAGCAGATTCTATTACATTTCTGTGATGCTGGAATTATGACATACCCCATATTTTCGTTACGTTACGTTCTCGTAGAATACTCATTAAGTCTTTGTAGCAGTGCAGTAAGTGAAACCCATTCTTAAAATTTTGTATATTTACTAAATAGAGTCACTGAGAGAAATGTTTACAAAACATGTCTCTCCCAAGCATTTCTAACATCGAAAATTGGTAGACTATCATTAACCCTTTAAAACAATGAAGAGCAATTAACCCCCCCCGAAAAAAGTCAAGATATGTATTAATAATTATTCTGTAAAATTTGCTTTTTCTTGCCAATAAAAAATGCTCTGTAAACTTTAAATTGCACATGAGAGCATTTAGCTTGTCCATTTGTGTAAGGTTGAAATGGTGTGGTTTAAGAAAGCTCGCTATTTTACACCATTGTATGATAGTTGACCTGTTCACACAATCCTTCTGAACTCACTAGGGGTTCCGTGGGTAGAAAATATCGAGGCTATAAGAAAAAAAAAAGAAACAAAATTAGAATTTAGAATAGAATTATATAAGTTATTTACAAACAGATAATAAAAATAATTGAATTTTGTTCCCTCTAGTCTTATTACAAATTTATCTAACGAAATATTTAGACATTATTTCATTTTAAATGTTATTTTTAAGACGCTAAGCATGTGTTGGTACTTCCTTCTAATGTATCCCTTACAGCGTTTGGATTAATTATTGGCTAGTTATAAAAGGAATTCTCAAATAACACTTTATTAACACTTCGTGTGTGGGTATGTAGAATGAGGTAAATGATACAGTGATCGGTCTGCTTTTAACGGTAATTTTCTTTTCTCCATTTTCAGTTGCCAAGAAGCAGTTAATGATTCAACAGAAGACAATGGTCAATTCCTATAGGTTTTAATCTCCAAAATGCAATAAGTCTTGATAAGAAAATTAACTTCAGTATTCTAACTTAAGTTTTTATTTAAATGCCGCCCAAACGGTATAGTGGTTAGGAGAGCCGACTGCGATACCGAAGGGCTCGGGTTTGAATACCGAAGATGGTATGGATATAAAATTGTCTGTCCCCTTATAGGAGGTAGAGGTGGCTGCCTATTAGCTGCCTCCATAATGCTATAAAATGACCACCATCTCTGGCTTTAATAGTGGCGAAAGCCTAAAAAGGGCGAGTGCCCACCATTAATAAGAAAATCTTTTTCATTTAGGTACTCCATCAAAGGTATCTTATATCAATATGTATTCTAGAAACTTTTCGATAATCAAAATCTTGAATAATGACATGAAAAGAAAGCTTAGATTAAATGGATATCTCTCCCAGATTGCTAAAGATATGGTAAAATACCATCACAAAAATATAGGAAGGTAATAGAGTGGCCGTCTGGGGAGAAGGACGCACATCTCACATCGGAGGTATACTCCTTTATATGCACAGATTACGGCATGTACAAATAGGTAGGCTCAAATACGGATGGCTCAAAAACAGAGTCGGTAATCTGATGTGTCTTCTGTCAAACTAATAATTCATGTCCATTTATGCCTAAAAGCGAAAGCTGGGAGAAAACAACTCTGTATTTCAGGAAGAGATATAAGGGAGGCAATAAGATGCTTCTCATACTCACAGAGACAAAATTTCATAATTTTTAAGCCACTCTGCTTCCAGCTTAGAAACGATAGTGAAGAAAAATAGCGGAGACGCACTGGTATTAAAAATACAAAAAGAGCTTATAGAACTTCCATCTTTGCAAATACCAAACATCAGATAGGTCCCTGCCCATCAAAGTATCACTCGCAATGAAAGATCTGACGTGCTTGCTGAAGACGTTGCAAACAGCACAAATGTACAGCGACTAACAAGTATCCTAATATCGCACATACCCAAAAGACACCTTAAATAACTTAGTATTGGAATGACAGAAGAGATGGACAAAGGAAGAGGTGGGCGGGAGAATAAACCACCGTTTACTAAAGGTAAGCTTAGGCGTCTTTAGTAAACATTAAGTCTCACCGTTCTAGCTTAAGCCTGTTCCTGAATAGTCTCAACTCCTTTCAGGAATACCTGCATCGTTTCCGAAGCATAGAATTTCCACTTTATGACTGCAGCCAAAAAGGAGATGAAAATTACTTCTATCATTATTGTCCAAACACCAGCACCTAGCGTTTGAAATGCAGTAAGCAAGTGAAACTAGGTATTCATTACGCAAGAAAGTGACATTACAGAAAATTAAGGAAATCTCGCAATACTTTGTGACAAGGAACAATAGTCAACGACGTTTTACACATATAGAATGGCAGAAGTCAGTTGTCACTGTAAGATCTTAACCGTTTGAACTATAGTGTATCTATCTATCTCTGTATATATGTTTGTAACTTTTATTGTTGTACTTTGTGTCCTTCAGTTTATTTTATGCTTTGTATAATAGTTTTATCTTATCCTCTTGTATTGTCATGTCCTTGGTAAAGAATCCTGTAAAAATTCCACCTGCTTTGTAAACGTAATTGGCTTTGATAGCTACTGCATTTTATATTTTGAAACACTAAATGCAGACTCGTTAGTAGTAAATCTCCGTTTTGATGACACAATTTCGTTTACTTTTACCTTTGCTGCTCGAAGACATCTGAGCGGCGTTGATGTCGCAAGACCTCTTTATTATAAAACAAACTTGTTATCAGTTTTGAGCCCATAATCCGCCTCCAACCCATTTATAGAAACTTAAGCAAGTGCTACCCAAATATTACTGAATAGCTAATTATCCACCTCTACCGATTTATAATTGTGCATTCTCACAAGAACACTGAAACTCTTGAATGTAAGTGTCACAGTTATTAAAGAACTTCATTATTTTACGAGTTATTGTTTTCATATTTTCGTCCAAATCCTGCATATTAGCGGCTTAGAAACAGTAGCAAGATGCAGTGAAAAGCTTTATACGGGACAGAAAATTCATTTATTAGTTATTTGAGAAGTTATTTTGTACCAATCAGACAGAGCCACTCATTACCCGGCCTCTATCTGTTTCATTTCCTCCAGTAATCGATAGCCTGACTTTGCTAGCCATAGCTTCACAGATGCTCATCTGAAAAGAAAAAGATTCCATTAAAATTAGAAATAAAAATTAAAAATGTCAATTGAATAGCAGCATATTTTAATTTAAGTTCAGATATTATGATGATTTATGATACAAAGATTTTTACCACTGAAAATATTTCGTTAAATATTAGATTAAATTTCAAATGGTGAATGATTTTATCTGATATCTGCTATTGTAAACAGATAACACATTAGCTGATCATGTGCAAATGCACACTTAATTATTTAGTTACGACTTTGTTTAAATCAATTCTGCATTCGAATGGCAAACTTTTGTCGACTCGAGAATTTTCTAATTATAAAGTACCTTCTAATTAAAGCTTAGCAAACTTTTCTCAAAAACATTTTATATAGAATAAAGATGAAATTGTTTTCTTATTACATCACATTAAAATCAAGTTACATTAACATGCATATTAAATTGGAGTTGAGAATAATATTAATAAAAAAAGGGAAATCTGCCCTTCAATGGTAAGAGCATGCCATAAATTTATAATAAATGCATTATAAATTCGTATTTGGATCAAAGTGGAAAAATACTGGAGTATGGCAAAAAACAAATTTTAGTTATCAGTTAATAAAATTTTATAGAAAACTGCACACTTCTAAATCATGAAATACATGGAAAAAATTATTACATCTTTCCATTTCTTTACTCGTTATACAATGAATCGGATTTCAGGAAATAACTATCATGCAATATCCAGTACATTTACTTTTCGCGAAAATGCAATTTCTTGAAGGCGCTTTATTTAAAATGCAGATTAAGTTTTATTATTTGATAAGTAATACTTAAACATGCCCTAGACATGTTTCACACGGTTTAGATTTGGAGACCTGGCTGGCCAATCTCTCCTGTGAATATACCAAGTATGAAGATTCTCTTAAATTTAACCACCAGTGCAAAATGTCTCCATAAAATAGCAGTCCATCTCCTAAATATACGGTTCTGTACTTTTATGTAATTCATAAACGTAGTCCTATCTTTAAAATATGTATTTAAGTGCATATGTGTTTCCATACTTTATTGAAAGATTTTACAAGAGACTAAATTTTTCGTACGTTCTCTAATGCTTGATACAAACACATTACTTAAGCGTCTATACTTGATAAGGGTGTCCGCCGATAACATCGCGGCAAAAACATCGCGGACGAAAACGTCGCGGAGAAAACAACGCAAGGCGAAAACGTCGTGCTACAAAACATCGTGGGAGAAAACATCGCAAAGAGAAAACATCGCAGTTCTAAAACATCGCGGTACAAAATATCGTCGTCGAAAATAAAGCGGTTCAAAACTTCGCAGTTTAAAAACATCGTCGTCGAAAATATCGTGGTAAAAATAAAGTATCTACAAATCATCGCATGACGATAACATCGCAGACAAGCTTTTTCAGGCTTTAATAACTGTAAATAGATATTCCCATAATAATTTGTGAGCGCAAGATGAAAAGAAGGATAATTTTTACTTTCACATTTTTTTATTAACTAATAAATTTTTGCTGAAAAATTAAGAAGGAAACTTAAGCAAAGAAAATTAAATGCAACTTATGGATTATACTTTTTATGAAAAATTACATGTAAAAACTTTATAAAAAATGATTTATTAATGGTCTTTGTTAGTTAACTATGTCGGTTTAAAATTCTATTAAGTGCTATCAGTTGCATTAATTTTCTATGCTTAAGTTTCCTTCTTATTTTCTCAGCAAGAATTTATAGTTAATATAAAATATGAACAACAAATTATCCTTCTTTCCATCTTGTGCTCACAAATCATTACGGGAATATCCGTTTATAGTTAGCATGTTTGCGATGTTATCGTCATGCGATGATTTGTAGATACTTTATTTTTTACCACGATATTTTCGACGACGATGTTTTTAAACTGCGAAGTTTTTGAACCGCTTTATTTTCGACGACGATATTTTGTACCGCGATGTTTTAGAACTGCGATGTTTTCTCTTTGCGATGTTTTCTCCCACGATGTTTTCGCCTTGCGTTGTTTTCTCTGCGACGTTTTCGTCTGCGATGTTTTTGCCGCGATGTTTTCGGCTGTAACCCTTGATAAGAACATCACTTATCTGATGAACGATATAAACAAACTTTATATTATTTATTACAAAACTATACTAACCTTTGATCGCATAGCTTCTATTCTGGCTTTATAGCAGAATTCTAGTAATGCAACAACCATGGCCAAGACAAGTCCACCAATAAGGATGTAGAAGCATCCAGCAACGTTGCTAAGTGTAAGTTCATTTTGCGAAGATTCCTAAAATTTGCAAAGTGTTATTATTTCTGTATTCCAAAATACAAAATAATGCTCTCCAAATTGCGAAATAATACATTCACAAATTCGAAGTTGCTAGAAACAACAAAACTAAATGAATATAAGAGTGTAATAAGTAGGATTTTACGAAAGTTCAGAACTCCTTAGGTTAAATTCATAAATATAACTAGATCATAGTGACGTACTAAGGGACAGTTAACAGATTGTCAGCAGAGTTTATCTCTCGTAAAGGGAAAAAGATAGATGCATCCAATTTGCAAAGCTTTCTCAGTGGATAAAAAGAGTTGTCTTTCCCCCAAAACTTGACAGAGATAACAAATGAATTAAATAGCCTATTCCGAAATTCTACGAAGTCTGTCTTTTGTATAACAGGATCTTCGTTATTTGGACTAGGCAGAGAAACTGGTGCAACATAAATAAAACAAAATACTAATAAAAAGACATGTTTTTTTTTTTTTTTTAAAGTTTTATTTAGTATACCGAAATGCATTCATTTAAAAGAAAATTTAATTTGTTGCTAAATGGATATTTTAGATATTTTTTTAATTTCTAGGTTTTGCAAAGCACACCTTTATGTTAATTTGGCAATCAAACCTTAAACCCTTATAATAAGTAATCACAAATTAATTGCATAATAGTTTTAGAAGATGTTTCCAATAAGATATTTATCAGTAAGCCCGGACAAATAATTGAATATTTCTTAGAGCAAATCATGCCATTAAAATATGGAAGCCTATCAGTTATAAATTTTTCTAGTAACTGTGATCAACATAAATGTGAAAGATTTGATTTCTAAGTGGAAACTAAATCGGCAGTACAACTGATAAAAATTATTTATTTTACTTAAAATAAATTGAGTAATTTTAATACATTGCAAAGCGCTTTATTCAGCACAACTTAGACAAATGTGTAAAATAATAAACAAACGGATTTTTATCATAATGCCCTGAATGTGGAAAGCAGGAAATGTGACCGAGTCTTGTTATTGTCAACACTGATTGCAGGATGAAATCAAAATTTGATCGTTGATAAGGTACGCGCTACAAAGATAAAATAAATAACGCAAATGCCTACCTTCCTAATATTACATTTTAGTTTCTGATATATTTTAGATTCTAAAAATACACTTATTCTTTAATGCATTATGTTTCCTCTTTATTTATTTGGGAGCAAAGCATTGTATCCCCAAACTAGCTGGGGAATGATGGGAAATTTTAATGTGGTATGTCAGATAACCACGTTAAAATTTCCCATTATCTAAATCTAGTCTATCTCATTTCGGTACATTAATTACTCTTTTGTGCTTAACGTAACTAAAATTTTAAAAACAATTTAATACCTTTCATTTCATTACCTAACTTTCAAAATGCGCTAGTACAAGAGCAAACATTAACTTTATTTACGTTAATGCGTGCAAACCTATGCAGGCAATGAATTCCCCACATTAAAGCTGAGTTTCTCCACCCAGTAATCCAAGTGAATTATTAGTGTTCCTTCCATAATTAGATAAAGTGTACTGAAATGTTTGCTTCCACAGTAGTTAATATCGTTTATACTGCGACGTTTTGTGCAATTTTAGGGATAGGTGAGTAATGACTCGAAAATGATTTACAAGCTCATTAATAATAAGAATTTTTAAATACATATCGGAAATAAGTGCGACAATTTTGAATGGATCTTGTAAGTAGTGGTAAAATTATTTCGTTTCCCATATTTTACTCCCATGTTATTTGGATATTTTACAAGATTGAGAATTATTATTAAGTCGTAAAGAGTCCTCTATTGTTCAGACATTCCAAGTATTTCTCGAATTAACTCACACACTGATTTGAAGTTTTAGAAGCTTAAAAAATGTCCCCATAACAACCCTCCTCGACAGACGCTTTAACTTTCGTTCGCGTCTAAGATGCGGAAAAGCAGGTCTTGAGGTTTCTTCCTGCCAAATAATTCAACATCCATACCATGTGATTTAACTTCCACTACAAACTGATAGAACTAAACTTCGCTCTTTTGAAAACTGGAGTTTCAGTGAAATTGCAGTTAATTCACGGTTACCTTTTGTATACTTTTGTGGAAAATATCGCCCTGCAGTCTTTTTCGTGTTTTAGTAAATCGCACAGTAATGTCCTTTTCATATTCAGAACCAGGATTTAAAAGAAAATTTTAAATTTCGAGCAGCGATGTAAAAAACAAATACTACATTTTAGGCCTTTGAAAAGTAAAGAATTAGTTTTATTTTACGATTAAGCAAAAAAGCAGCTTTAGTTTAGCGTAAACTTTTATTAAAACTCTATCGATTTTGAAGGTAATCGAACGCATGTCCTTCTTCAGGAGCAAAACTATTCTTGTAAAATAGAGAATAGTAACAACTATTTATGTATTCAAAAAAATAGACGAAAAACGCGAAAAGTAACGTAAAGTTATTAATCGAGGGAAAAATTTTAAAAATTAGCAAGAATATTTCAAATTAAAAATTGCAGTTAATAATTACAAGAATTTTCCAGAGTTTCTGAAACTCTACAACAGAGGGTGAATTTATGAGCACAAGATCTGGATCAATAGCTGCAAAATATATTTTTGCAAAAATGATGCTGTTCCTGGAGAAGACAGATCTGTCAAATCGGCGGCGAAATTGATAGAAATTTAATCCAAATATACTGCACACTAAGGTTATTTTATAAGGTATTCCCCCCGCCTTCTTTGCATGCCTTCGTAGTGTAGTGGTCTGCACGCTGGGAGCGTATTCTGGAGGTCCGTGGTTCGATTCCCCGCGAAGGCGTTGCTCATTTTTCATCTCCCTGCTTCCAAAAAATACCTAATATCTCTACAACTTTTTTGCCTAATTTTTAATTTTACATTTAGGTATTTCTCTTAAAGCGGGCATTATTTTCTACCTTAATTTATTCTTGTTAAATTTATAAATACATTTACTTTTTTGGCTTGTTTTTAATTTTTCAATCTGTAGTACTTCGTCACTGAATTTGAAAGTTTTCCCGCCAAATTATTATTTCCCTTCTTTTATACACAGACTGGTATAAAGAAAAGAAAACAATTAAATAAATGTTTAACACTGAAACTTCTCAAGCAGTATTACCTTCGTATCCCCATTTCTACATTCACTTCTGTCATACCACCATTTATTTTCTAATCTTGCTAGATCACCTTTTTCTTTTAGAGATAAGACAGCCAAATTGAGTTGGTCCCTAAATTAAGAAGAAACTTATTTGAAAATTGAACAACTCCTACATACAAAGTAACTTTCTGATCAGCAAACAATTATCAACATACTCAAGTAAACAATATACATACAGAAGTAGTATTTTAAATGTCCATAGTTTTTCAAATAAACTTTATGTGAAACGCTTGCAAACATACCAAATCGAGCAATAACTGAAGTAGTTTTTAACTTCAAATGGTTACACCATTATTAAATACAGAAATCTACATTTTATTATTTTGAGTCTGAAATAAGAATGTTCCAAAGATTTTAAAGATGATTAAAATCAATGAAATATCATTTTATGTTTATAATATGAAATCTCGTTACATATGCAGCTAAATATTCCTTGACAGATGATTAATTTCGGTATATTTCTGACTATCACCTCAAGAAAAATAAATGATATTTTTTTTAAATTGTCTCTTTGCATGTGAAAAATCATAAAATTTGCAGGAAGGTCTATTTTTATATTTTGCCAAAAAAAAATAATTCTTAAGAAGGATTCAGCCATATCGGAAATGATAGGAAAGCTAAATCAAAGTAAACATTTCTTAGATAAGAAAAGAACATAACATAGTTAGATCCTAAAATCTCTTTATCTGTGTATTTGTTATATTCCATGAAAAAGATTAATTTGTATTTCAAAATTTTCTCTTCTATGTTACTGCCGAGAGGTGAAGTATAGTAGAGGTATAGTATACATGGCATACAACGTATGCCTACTAGAGGTGAGTTAATGAAGTGAATCATCAGAAGTGAGTTAATGTTTTAAATACTCAAAATAAATATGAAAAATGTTAACAAGAAATGAATGATTTTTATTTTTTGCGGTTAATGATTTACACTCAAACAAATGATAAAAAAGTTAATTAGGTTTTGAAGACTTTTTTTATTTCTGATTGTCACAGGCCTGCATAAGTGCTTTTGAGATATCATTTGTGAATTCCGACATTCTCTGAGAATTTCGTCCACAGACCTGAGTTAAAAAATAGCGCTATTCCGCTGATTAAAATATATTCGAATACTATATTTAATATTGCTTTTGATTATTGTTTATGTTTTATCACAGAGCACTAAATCTCATGAACTATAAAATGTACGTATAAAATAAATTCAATCTTAAAGATAAATTATTATTATACAAATAAGATATTTTTAGCATACCGTAAAAAATAAATCAGCTGCAGAAATTATTCAGCACTGAAACGAAAATCGCATTGTTACCAAAATCATATAGCTATTTAATAATTTAAATCAGCAATGATTTAAATTATTAAATCATTGCTGTTTTAAGTTATTAAATAGCTATATGATTTAATATTTAGTAATTTAAAGCAGGAATCCGCAAGCCTGTTAGAAATGAAAAAGATCCTTTTCAAATCCTGAAGAAATAAAAATATCCTTTCCAGAGAATTCCTCTATTATTTTAAGTTATAAAATTAGCATCAGACATTAAATTTATTGGCTTCTATTTTATTTGGCTTACATATCTAACGAGAAATATTTGCTCGCTTATCACTAATAACAGCATGATTGTATACTGAAATTTTTTAGACTTCATAAATATGCTCCTTTTCACTTCTTTGTTAAGATTTAATGTGTACAGTTAAAAGCAGCAAAAAGGGTTCATCGCTGTATGAGTTTTGTGATATTAACATTGCTCCAGATGTTACTAAGCCTCACACTTTTGAATCTTAACTGATTCTTGAATTATTTTCGACTACCAAAATCCCTTAATGATCTTTGCGGTTAACATAAAACATTTTGGATTCTCCTCTATAGCAATAAAATATTCTTCAACTATTCTAAAGCAATAAGTTAAATTATTGAGCTGTGTCAGATACCTCAAGTTTGATCCAAGTGGTGTTGCAACACCATAACCTTTGGCATCAAGGTTACGACCAACTTTCATAGTATCACAAGGCTGCCTTTCATTGATGTAGTCATTCTTTGTGGACTCCATGAGAAAGGCATACTTTCCTTTTGACTCTCGAACACGTCTAATGCCTTCTTCATATGATGATACAAAAACATGCTTCCTGGAATTCATGAACTCCCACATTCGAGCATAAACCGTAATTTTGGATCGCTGCAAAGACAAACGTTTCCAGTTATCGAGTATGTTTTATATAGTATCGAAATCCTTTGAATGTTGTATAATAAATATCTTAGAGTATTTTGAAGATCATTTTGATTGCGAAGATTCACTACAACATTTAGAGTTAATTTTAAATTTGTAAAACGTTATTTTAGATTAATCAAATACTATCAATTCATAGTTCCTTGCTGTATATTCCTTTGCTGTAAAATATAGAACTATTTTTGTCATTTAATTTGAGAACCTTTACCATCTCTGTTGAAAATCTTGACCTTATATCGCATAGAAATCAGATGACAAAAAGAGAATGATGTCAAAAATATAGTATCGGATTAAAAATACGTACCTTTTCACAAATCGGTTTGTATGAGCTATTGTTACAAAAATCTTGTATCTAATATTAAATCACTAATATAAAAAAAATAAATTTTGGTATTAAGAAGTCCTCTACTTAATTAGACCCGATAAGAGGCTATGTACTTCAAAAGTTTAGTGTAAAAATGTTCTAAAATTCGTTGTTATTATAGTTATTATTTTGGGGAACTAAAAGCGGTTTATTATGCATGTAATGTCCAACTGTTTTGCTTTCACACATTAGTATATATGCTTCGAAATGTTTTATCCCAGAGGATACTTAAATCTTTTAAAGCGTGTGTTTTTATCTAGAAGCGTTTTCTGCTGAAGTCTTATTCCGTTCATATCGAATAAAAGCTGCCTCGTGTTAATACTTAGCTTCTTTGAAAACTGTTAAGAGTTTCCGGAAATTATTCAACTTAACGAAGGCTACTTATTCGTCATTTTTACTTTACACCCAGTTTCAAAGAGTTGTAAATCTATGAAATTAATGACAGTTCATGTAAAATGTACTTAGTTGCATCTTTGTCGAGTATCTCAGAAGCAGCTTAATGTTTCTTGACAAGAATAACTCTTTTTTTATCTTATCAAGGTTTTACATGTTAGTGTCATCTCAACACGTTGACTTAATTTTCCCCTAATTTCTACAAACGTTATCTTTTCTTTTTTCTTCTAAAATATTTGATTGCATAGGCACAACGCCTTTAAAACACTTTTATGTTTGTTTATTTTTTGTTAGTTTTCAGTTGTTACGTTATCTGTCCCTCATGTGTTTACCAAATTATAGAAATGAACGAGTACAGCAGTGTATCTGTAAATCGAAATTTTTTGTAGAAGACTTCCCATACTGCATTGATTAGATTTAACTAAGAAGAAAAGTTACATTCATTGAAATAAACGTATCCTGCGATTATGTACGAACCTTGAAAAACTCTTGGGTTGAGGAATATCTCAGTGTGCCATATTCGACTTCTGTTTGTTTAGCCAGATCATCGGCGGAATTGATGGGAGTGACCATTCTCTCTACTGTTAGAAATGCAGCAAGATTGGCGGTATACGAAGAGATGATAATAAGAGTGAAGAACCACCAAACGCTTCCGACAATTCGTCCTCCAATAGATCTGTACATAGAAAATATTTTAACTGAAAATGCTTACATTCAATAAAAATAATTTTAAAACAAATAATTCACACACTTTTCACCTATTTTAATTTCACACTTAGGTGAACAAAATCATCAGCGCTTTAGGTAACAGATGGCAATTGTCGATATCGTTCAATTCATTTACTTCTTACAAATTGTTAAATGATTATAATTTTGTTGTTACTAATTGCTTCTGTAATCGGCAGATTGCTACCCATATTATTCCGTTATCTAATAATAAACATGTTCACTCAAATCTAATTGTCTTCTGCTCTATAGAAATGCTTCTTGTATTCTGTACTTTAACAAAAACTAAATTCTCCTTGAACTACATATTTCGATTGCGTATTTTCTATCAAAACTAAAGCAAAAAATTAGTTTTCACTATGAAAGCAATTATTAGTTGTCTTAACACCACCTATATTTCATCGTACCAGAAATATATGCTTCTTATTATGAATATTATGAAATGTTTGTTTTCATATGGAATCCATGCTATTCTTTCATTGTTTAACCTTACTCATTTGGCAGAGACACAAAATTTGATTTTAAATTTCCTGTTTCAAATTCTAAGCAAATTAATTTCACATTAGTTCCTTTAAAAGATTAATGGATGTTGTAAAGAATTTCTATGCAATTTCGGTTGGAAATACTCGTGCTTCTGAATGTTATATATTTCTCGAATTGATAGTCAGGAGCGCTGCTGTTATGTGATTGATGGTAAAATACTATTGAATAACAAGTAGATCAAATGGTTTTGCTATCTTGTAATCCCGTAAGAGTTTACGATTTGATAACTCGAAAACACCGTGACCTTAAAAAAAGAGAACCTATACAGGAAACTATTATAATATTAATGCAAATAATCTGTGTTAGAAAATTCTAAAAAGGCCTAAATTAAAAAACGTTATAATTAAATATAATGATTTTTAACGAGTTTTATCTCTTTCGAAGTTTATAAATGAATATAATGTCTCAAAATAACAACTGCTAGATTTTGACTTCTAATCTTCATGGACTACTTTCTAAAAGAAATTTTCTTTTTCTACAGGTGTAATAAATGAGCCACTTCCTTAGCCACGACAGTCAGATTTGTTTAATTCAGCGAAAGTTAAAATCCTCTCCGTGATTCAAATCATGAATCTTCCACGTGCTAACTGGAAGTGTTGCGAATTTACAACATACAACACAAAAGGACATTCGTTCATTCCTTAATAGTTTAAATGAAAAACTAGAAGAAAACTAAATTATCTGCAAAGTAATAATAACAATAAAAATAAATGAATAAAGGTATTAATTTAAAAAATATATAATAAAGCAAATTATTATCTAAGTATACAATAATAAATTTATGATATTACCTTACTTTAGAAATTTTTCATTCAGTCATTTTAATGGAATCTTACATCATAAGGAATATTGTCGTAACTAACAGCGTGAGTTAATGGAATAACGTCGAATCGCTTGGTGGAATAAAAAATAAAGTGACCCAATGTGCACCATTTGGGGAAGATTTTAATTTATTCCTTCATTTATAAAGTTTCCTATAAAATGTATAATCCCAAAAGTTTGCATTTCATAAAATAAACAATAGAAAGTTAAATATGAAATTGGATATGCAGTCGATGCTCATTATAAAGATCATTAATTATACACTGCCCTCCAAATGTTAAGTAACAGCTGTTTTTGAAGGCTCTCCATTACAAAAATATCAGTAATATTAAAGTTCACAGTTTATATGCATAATAGTAAAGAAGTTAAGAAAATATATGGAAAAACAATTAAATTTACAAATTGTATAAACCTTTCCATTACAATGACAGAGACATGCTCACCAGTGGCAGAACTATAAGAGCGTTGAACATTTGTAGTTCGACATCAGAAATTACGGTGAACAAGCTGGCTCCATGTGAGGTCACTTTCGTTTAATATTACGTAATAGGATTTTTGTTATTCTTAGACATTCTCCAAAGCAGGCATTGTCCTGTCAGGCTTTCCAGTGTTTTACCATAATCTAAATAAGCCTAGCAACAGCAAGTTCAAATTCCCTAACTCATAACCAGTGTATTAAATAAATTTTTATCATAGCGATTATAATTTCATAACACTTTATAGCGTCTTCTGCATTTAGAATGCGGGAGTTCATTTAAACGAGCGTTTTATTTCATAATTTAATAGTGCTTTATTCATATCTGTTTATCACATTTAACCGTATTTCGAAATAATAATGAATTTTAGATGGATTTCAAGTGATTCTAACAGTAATTTATATTTTAAACAAGATACACTTCAGGAAGAAAAGAGCAGAACTGGGTTAATTTAAAACAGAATTTAGTAAAAGGGGATGAAAATCTTTAAGTAATTTAAGTAGAAATTAAGCACTGTGTCAACATTTAAAAATAATATTTGGATATATTATGCATTCCTTATAACTGAGGCTAATATTTGATTGAATGGTTGATTTCATCAATTAATAAACATTAAAGAATAAAAAATCTAACTGAAAATTACGACATGCTTAAATCGAACAAAGCACAAATGGTGTTAATCCCGATGAAAATTTTGCAGAATATTACAAATGATGCAAAATTACTTTTTAATATTTCTTATATATGACTATTGACTAAAGATTTTGACAAAAGTTAATAAGCTTTTCCGATTATATGCTATATATAACGCATATGTTCTTCACTCTGTGTAGAATCAAGAAGGAAAATAACAATAATGGGAAAAGTGCATGACGTCAGCTTAGAAAACGATGGTGCTTGACATCTGTTAGGAAAGCTTGAGAAATTTTCAAGCAAAATAACGTGATGAGCGAAAGAAGATAATTTCCTCTCCAATTCTGAGAAATGGTGTGTGTGTGTGTGGTTATAGCAAAGCCTCGAGGGCTATCTGCCTAAGAGGAGGGATGCCTTCGTGGAGGATTTTCTAAGGGAAACTGGCTCGTATATACGTTACACAAGGAGAAAACCACGAAAACGCCCATGCAGCCAGCCCGTTCGCGGGCTTCGAACCTCGGACCGAACTACCAGTGTTCAGCAACTTTACCGCCGGCCGCTGGTGGGCCCTGAGAAATCGTGAATTATGATATAACAAATTTTAAAAAAATCACTTAATCAGTATTTTTTATCTATCTTAATTTCTAGAAGAACGGAGGGACGATATTTTATATGAGAAAATCTTATGATATCGGCAATTTCATGTTTTGAGGCTATCAAATTTGAAAAGAGTAGAACTATAATAACCGAAATATATGGATCAATTTTGAAAAAGTAGCTAATTTCTGTAAATTGAGTTAGAGGTTAGAAGTATACTTAATTTGAAAGTTTATTTAAGGTCCTGTGCGATAGCTCAAGCATTGTAATTATACAACGATTAATTCGATCGCTAAATGAGAATACATGCAAAAATTCGTAAATAATAACTTTATAACTTAAATTTTGAAACCTAATTCATGTTATGAACTATCAGATTTAAGGAGTAAACAAACTCAACTGGAGAATGTGCATTCCAAATTTAATAGCTCTTTGAGATGCCATCATTGTGCTGAATGTTACGAGCATAGACAAATGAACAGATTCTTTTATTACTACCACATTACATATTTACTGTCACAGTAAATAAATCACGCATAAAATCAAGCCGTCAACCATTCACTATATCATTTATAAAATAGCTGAATGCATCATTAATAACTAGAATGTTTTGTCTAACATAATTCTGATAGGCGGAAATACAATAGTGATTACACAATTTTCGCAGAATAATTAAAGGCACAAAGATGCTGACAGAATTCCTTTCCCTCTCTGAACTTCGAAGCGCATAGCTACATTGACTTAATTTCGTTACGGTAGCGTGGCTTGACTAAGCCATCCTGAACGTTTGAAATATTTCATAAGGAGCTTAATGGTATAAGGAGGACTGAAGCAGAGAATGTGCCTGAAGTGGAGTTCTGTATCCCTAAGGTTTTCACGTCACAAGCTGCTTAGAGAGAGATGCGTAAATTGTTCCTGGAAGCGTCAGCAATTTGAGATACAATCCAGAAATATGGGTCTCCAGAAGCTAAAACTGGGGAGTATATATTTACTTTTGGAGTTTGGTTTGGAGTATCAGTTTGTTACACCTAAGTCTTTAGCGACAGATAATTTCATTTTGAATTAAAATGTATCCTTTCTTCTCTGTAAAGCGTTTCTCATTCTTTAAGAATAAATATACTAGCAAAACTTTACGTTCCATAATTTTACCATGATTAATTTCGAATGAAAATGAGCTGCTGTTTCTCCCAGAAATCTTCAAATATCAAAATAATTGCTTTTATAATACTTTAATTTTGTCACGAAATCCTTACATAGTGCAACACACAGAGTTTAACAGAGAATGAACCTTATCCTAAACCCAAGGTTAGACGTTCGACTCTCGCGTAAGGTTTGGCCTCCTCCTCTGTTCTATAAATACATAATTATTGCGGGATTCCCTGAGTAAGGCTTTCATTGATAAAACTGCTATAAGTTCTGCCGTTTCCTATGAAATGCTTTGAAAAGCAATTATATGATTATCTAAGCAATTATATGCAATGAGTAAAAATAAACAGACGAATAAATAAGAGTAAAGATAGCATGTTAAGTAAAGAAAATTGGAAAATGTAAAAGAAACAGAATATGCTTTTAGAGGTTACATTCACACTGAAAATAACAGTGCAGACTTGCTTCATTTTTCTACTTTTTCGACTTATACGACTAACCGCTAGCTCTTTTAAGCTACCTTACTTTAAGAATGACATTTTTTCTTACAACCTATTGGACTAACAGCAGGGCATGTGAGAGCACACGTGTAAACTGCGCTGTTTCTTTCTGCTCATTCAACAGAACTTCAGCTTTCTTTGTACTGTACACAGTTTTACTATTTTGCATGTTTTCGTTTAACATACTTCACAGATTTACCGTACTTACTCTGTTTTCTATTTTATTTCTTATG